GGCATACATCAATGTGTGTGTGTGTGTGTGTGTGTGTGTGTGTGTGTGCGTGTGTGTGTGTGTGTGTGTGTGTCTTCCTCAGGCTATGACATGTCCACCTTTATCAGACGCTACAGCCGTTATCTCAACGAGAAGTCCTTCGCCTACAGACAGATGTCTTTCGATTTTGTCCGAGTCAAGAAAGGGTAGAGTTTCTCATTTCTGTCATTTTCTTACTTCATAAATTATTGAAGAAAGTTAGTGAGTCTTAGACTTTGAAGGCGACTTTTTTTTAATGATGAGTAGCAGTGACACCCAACTCCCTATACCGTGCTGCTCTTCGGCCTCAACATTGTTTAATACTGTTCAACCTCACAGAAGGAATTGGTTGGGAGTTTAGATACATTGGTCAATACTCTGACTTGGTCAATGCATTGGGACAACCTACACTGAACTCTCTTGACGCCCAGCGTCCGCACGGTCGACGCTCAGGCTCAGCGTCCACACAGTTTAAAGCACGATGAAGCTACGGGAATGAATGAGAAGAGAGTCGTGTCGTAACCAGTAATAAGAAGCTGATTTGGAACAAAAGTTGAGCGTGTTGTAGCGCATATTTAGTCAATGACATGTCCACACAATTGTACGTACACACATATATTTGATCACTTACTTTTTGGCATTACATTTTAGGGGAAGCTGAGCTTCCCTTGCAGTCTTAGAGCAATCGCCTCTGGTAGAGGCATATTGTGATCAATGCTTCAAAGGACCTTTAATGAGAATATTATTCTATGAGAATTGTTTTTAACTCAGCGATGGTGTGGTGTATGGTTGGGGCTCTGTGTTGACCAAATTATTATCATTCCCACAAATTGCTTTGACTAATTTGCCGATGATATGGCGGCTGAGCACCCCCCAAGTTCAGATCCTCATTTTTTAGAAAGTTCCACATTATTGTAACGTAGAATCGATTATTTTCCTTTTCCCCTCACAGAGCTGAAGGAGCAATGAGGACCATGACAGTTGAGAAGCTGCTGAAAGGAATGCCTATCCTGCAGGGTCAGATTGATGCATTGCTCGATTTCGATGTAAGTCACGTGTACTTGAAGGAAAGGGAACACTTAGCAAACTGCCAGGCATCAGCGCCTTATTTGTATTGATCTTCTTCACCCGTCACATCATATAATGCATAATGACTTCATTTCATCAACTCTGTCCAAAGGTCCACCAACCAGAATTAAACAACGGGGTGATAAATGCCTGCTTTCTTCTCCTGTTCAAAGACCTGATCAAGTTATATGCTTGCTACAATGACGGCATCATCAATCTACTAGGTACAGTATTTCTGTTCACCTTTATTTTCTTTGTCAGCAAATGTCGATTAACTATCCCATTATGTATCACATACGGGTGAGGACCAGTGATTGAGTACCCGTAGAGAATTTCCTCCTTGTTTCTGGTTAATCCTTGGCCAGGATCTCCAACCTACAGCAGAAGCCAGAATCTATCCTGACAGAAGGTTTACCATTTTTGTGTTTTAGAAACACAAGTTCATTGTTGACAAATAAGAGAAAACCACCACCAAATATTTACAGTCCATGTATAGTATTGTGGCAGCCCCGTGGGCTAGTGGTTAGCGCTTAGACCTCACAGTGCAGAGGTACCGGGTTCAATTCCAGCTCCGTCCTCCCTGTGTGGAGTTTGCCTGTTGTCCCTGTGCCTGCGTGGGTTTTCTCCGGGTACTCCAGTTTCCTCCCACATTCCAAAAACATGCATGGCAGGCTGATTGAACACTCCAAAATGTCCCCAGGTGTGAGTGTGAGTGTGGATGGTTGTTCGTCTCTGTGTGCCCTGCGATTGGCTGGCAACCGGTTCAGGGTGTCCCTCGCCTACGGCCCGAAGACATCTACGATAGGCTCCAGCTATCCCCCACAACCCTTGTGAGGATAAGCGGATCAGAAAATGGATGGATGGATGTATAGTATTCTCATGTTACCACAACTGTGTCTTTTAGAGAAATTTTTCCAGATGAAGAGAAGCCAGTGTAAAGATGGACTCGAGATCTACAAAAGATTTTTGACTCGCATGACTCGGGTATCTGAATTCTTCAAAATTGCAGAGGTAACATTCAGATGTGCACATTACACTGACTTGCTGAGCAGTCATTTCTGACGTACATGCCGTCTGGTAAATGTTGTGTTTTGTGTTTTTTCCAGCAAGTGGGAATAGACAAAAATGACATACCCGAACTCACTCAAGTAAGTTTGTGACAGTTTGTCTCCCTGTATGTTTTTCAAAGATGCACACCAACGCAGTGTGCACAATTGCTTGAACCCTTTCAGGGACAGAGGTTCCTACAGTGGACGGCTTCTCATCTTATCAGGTTACAGGGTGCATGAAACGGTTAAAAACGAGTCACACTTTCTTTGGCTGTAGATCTAAAGTGGACTTTTCAAAAGATGAATTCGGTGTTGAAAGGGTTCTTTGGATGACGGCGTGCATTATATTCTTCGAGCCATTTTCTCTTCTTACATTATGTTCTCACTCAAGGAAACATAACGTGCAAACAGTAGACGCTTAAACTATACGGGATCACTTGCAGTCGTATGTGGCTTTGGTGAGTGTTATCATGGAGATGACAGGCAGTTCTCTCTCAGTTTCATGGCTCCTGCATGCATCGCTACGAGATTCTGTGTTTCCCCTCAAAGTACACATTATATTATTAGTGGTACTCCTATGAAGTTTCCTTTTTCTGTCATTTTCGTGTTAAAGATAATGAAATTGTCTGGGAATTGGAACATGGATAGGATTTTATTTCCTTATCCTATCCTCCATATGCATCCTGACCGTTTTGGAACATTCCGGCCGGTTTTTCAGTGTGATGGAGGAAACTGGGCTGAATGTAGCTGTTGGTGGGGGGGCACTTCACAAGACAGGAATTGAAATTAATTCATTTATTTTTGGACGACCGTGAAAAATGAGGAATGCCCAACTGTTACATACGGGATAACATGCAGAAAAAGAAAAGATGATGAAGACCAACTCAAGCCAAATTGCTACCGACTAATCACCAAGCGGAGACCAATGAATTGCACGCACAGTTTGACAAGGAGCTGATTTGGATGACACAAGAACAAAGTTGGGTTGCGCCAACTGAAAATAAACAGGACAGGAAAATCTAATCATACTTATGAAGAATCAAAACAGATTGGAGGGTGTAATATCCTATTCACACAAAACATACCTCTAAAATCATGTGATGATCAAAAAGCAGTTCAAAATCCGAAATGAAATACACAGCACAATGTGAGGAATAACAGCACTGACAAGCCCAATATGGCATTGAAACCTGATTTTCCTTTCTGCCGCTTCATGAAAATCTGGTTCACATACATGTTTTTCAAGCAATTAACTAATGCTTAACAATGTACAATGATGTGCAGCACATACACCGTACACACTATACACAAATAACATAATTTCCAAATAACGTAACTCGAGCTGAATTGTTGTATTCTGTCTCTCTGCCACTTTGTTTTACCCCCGCAGGCTCCAGAAAGTCTTTTAGAATCCCTTGAGACCCACCTCAACACATTGGAAGGGAAGAAGCCGTAAGTTTGTGCGTTTCTTGGATATTATGGGAAAATAAATAAATAAAATAAGACAATGAGTAATAACACAATAGTGGTCAATTGTAGTTGACTTGAAGCTGGTTTGCACATCAACACAATGACAGGTTGAATCCATGATAAAATAATTTTGATGGGGGCTTTAATTAAACTTTCTATTTAACTACTTGGATCATTTTTGATGGGCAAATATTTAACCTCATGTTCTTGTGATCTTTGCCCAATCCAATACAGGGAGGATAAGTAAGTATTGTCTGTTACCAGAAGTACTAAATTCATACCATTACCTATTTTTTTTTTTTTAATTTCCCACCCCTCAGTGTTGCTTGACTTTATAGTATAAAAGTTATCATATCCATCTGAAGAAGTCATACCATTGATCTAACAATACTTTACTAATGTTCAAAATGTGCTTCAATAGGACACATTTTTAAAAAAATGAAATCCATATTTTGTGATTGTTTTTAGTTATACACTCATACAAAGCTGCTGGTAAACTTTTACAATCCAATGACATCCAAGGTGATGTTGGCAAAAGGTTTTTATTTCTTCTGTAATAATTGTGAACACTATTAGTATTCTTGTAAAGGTTAAAATATTACATAGCAGCTGCATTGGATTGTGCTGTGTAGCAAATGGCATGTCAGTGAGCGTATAATCATCATTAAATCGGTGTCACTCACTCCCAGTCTCCACTTTTGCAAAGGAAAACAGGCTGGCTGGACAACTGTCACGTTGTCCAAGTTGCCTGTGTAAGAAAATCCTGAGTTGAAGTGGAAATGGGTCCAAAATGCAATGAGATAGCATTGCAATGTGATGACATCAATTACAGACGATTCCGAAATGAATTGTGTTTGAAATTCTGCCTGTCTAATAACACGGAAAATAACTTTAGCAAGATGTCACTCTGCCTTTTTTCTAACTTGCATGCTATTATTGTTTTGACAGGTCACCCACCAAGGTAAGACATTATTAATATCATTAATTGCTGCGCTTTTAATGTTCAACATGGGGTTCCTTTGCACTTGAAATATTAAGATATTCAATATTTTCAAAAATGTCGTGAGGATGAAGTATATGACAACGTTTTGTTACATTATAAGGCTGTATTTAATATGCAAGTTTAATTCTGTTTCTTGTATTACATTTATAATTGTTAGCATTCTTTTTCGTCTCTGTGGACAAATCACCTGTTCTACTGCGCAGGGACAATTTTTACAACCCACATGTTTCCAAAGTGTGCTTCCTTGCCTTAAATCCACTAAACGAGACCCCGGTATGGATACACAGTGAGAAAGAATGAATTTAGAAATACAGTCAAAGTCATCATCTTCATTCATTGCGAATTACCAGAACATGTTGACAAGCATCCAAAAATGCCACCTAACGTAACCATGTTGTTTACGTTGTTGTCTGTAAACAGGACACAGTGGCAACGAACAGCTCAGCCCCATCGACTGCACCACCCAAACCTGCACCACCCGCCGGCGCCGGGGGGCCCCCTGCTCGCCCCGGGCCGCCCGTCAAACCTCCACCACCCTCTGTCACACCCACAGCTGTAGTTCCCACTACTACCACCACCAGCAGGTAAGTGCCATTACATTTATTTCAGGTTGAATTTATTCTGCGACAGATTGGATGTGAACTCGTTCTTTCTGTGGTGCAATTTTTACACCACAAAATGTCCAGTGAAAGAGAATGGAATTTTATGCTTTTATTACATTCTATTTGTTTCTTTGTTTTTAACATATTCACAAGATCGACCTATCGAGATGCTTGCTGCTCTTATTTTCTTTCTTTCTGGGTCTAGTGCCCTGGATGATGGCTTCCTGTTGGACCTAGATCCAATGTCCTCGTCCTCAGCTGGTGGGACGGCAGCACCTTCTACTACAATTGGATGGGGAGGTGAGTAAATACTATCAGAAAATTCCTGAGCTCTATTTAAAAATTATAAATAGTGTCCCCACCCTACCCCCCAGGCTATATCACCATTAAAAAAAAAAAAAAAAAAAGAAATGGCAGGAAGAAATTGAAAAAAAAAAAGCAAAAGCAAAATGTGGTCTCGCGGCCACATTTGGAGTTGCGGAGCAACGTGGGTCAGCGGAAATATTCAGAGGCGCACTGGAGAGAAAGTTCTTGCACTGTGTACAACAACAAATTTGAGCCTAGCAGACATAGTCGAACTCGAAGAACACACAGACATTTGCAGTTCTTGTAATCTGGTGATTGTAGAATTCATCCGTCGGGTCTTGCCTGCGCTCACGTTCCTGGAATGAAAGAACAAAAAAGGCGTCGTCTTGATCTTAATGGAATAGGCAAATCTGGAAAACTGTTGATAAACGCTAAACTAATGTGAACGTAATGTGTCTGTGAAGTGACACGCCTGTACGCAAAACACAACGTCATGTCCCGCGGTGATTACGTAAGTAAATATGGTCCCGTGTGTAGGGGCTCATACGTGTGTTGGTCACAAGCGAAACAGCTCTTACAGCCGGTTCCTTATTTCCTCAAGCCAAGAATTTTCATTTCGGTGCATCCCCAATACTGTACTGTATATTTTATAAACATAAGTACATTGTTACATGCCATATAATATGACCATTTTGTTTTGAGTTAAATTTTCATGACGTTGGCTTTGCATTAATTAACAATTTCCAAAGACTGTCCTTGTTATACTTTCATGTTGTCATCCATCTGCGGTCAACTTTTTGTCTGTCTCTTGTTGTTGCAGACCTTTTGGCCGATGGTGAGTAATCTTGTGATGTCATTCCCCAAGTATGTTATGAATCTTAGCAATTACAGCACAGATTACCGAGTTCTCTTTATTATAATCTTTGAAGGGAAAAAAAACCTTCCCGTTCCCCTCTTCTAATTCCTTTTTTTCCCTCCTTTGGGGTTGTGACTGTGTGCCATCCTGTGGATTGTTGGCTTTATCCATGTAGCCACTCCCGCTGCCAGTAATATCGCTTCTGAGGCTAACCAAGCAAAGAAAGAGCTTGCTACTGATGTTGCAGCGGCCTCTGCAGTGGCTGCATCCGCAGCCACCGCTGCTACTGCTGCCACCATGCCAGCACCGACCTCCCTGCCTGTCGCAGCTCCCACCACCGCTTCAGTTAGGGATATCGACTTTTTTGGAGGTTAGTCAGTTGACAATGTAGACAGGCGGGTGGCTCATCTGCACAAGGCTTTAACAATGTAGTCATGTATGATAAGAGTTGTACATCTCTTGTGGAAAAAAAGTGTGAAGACACTGCTTATGTTACTGATAGTTATTAAATATGCAACACTTTATTTCAACTATCAACTATAAAATGTTTACATTACATTACAGTCTTCAAAATTCCAAGAAAATCACAATGTCCTATCACAGTGTTCAGCTACCACTTGCATTCTTACATTGTTGTCGTTATCCATGTATGCCTGGGCCACCTGCCGTTCTGGTTAAATAAAAGCAAAAAAGTCACATATACCCATACCATTTATCCAATACTTTACATCTCATGGTTTGCTGATTCTGTGCACAAATGTGCTGACATGATGCCCTTCTGTCATTCAGCTTGTTGCACAGACCACCAAACATCGACCGTTAAATCATCCATGTGTATATCCCAAAAATGTGAGTCACGACAGGGATTTTACTTGTCCTCCTGTTGGCGAAATGAAGAATGCACAACTATTACTTCAGCAGGCATGGAACATCCATCCATCCAGTTTCTGAGCCACTAATAACGAGGGTCACCAGCGTACTGGGGCCTATGACTCACACTTTTCAGATATGCTGCTTTGCCCCATTTGCTAGCACCCTTGATGATTTTTTTTCAACAAATATGGACTTTTATTATGGATTTAAAAAAAAAATCCTTAAAATCAATATGATCATGTCTGATTTCTAAAAAAAAAAACATCACAAAGAAAACGTATTTGTAGTTAAATTCCAAGTTGGCAGTAGAACAATCAAAATTATTTGAAACTACCAAAGATATGAGGTCGAGCGTGAAGTCCAACCATTTCAAAACATTCAAAGATCATTAGAAGATAGTTGAAATTCTAATAATTGTTAAAGAAGATGCATCAGTCACAACACACTAGTCTTGAGGAATGATACACTGAGCTGAAACAAAATACAAAGAGCAACATGTCTTTGTCATCTCGACCTTCTTGAGCTATTATTGGCTCCGTCATGTGATGAACACGAAAGCAGGGTTGGGCGTGTCAGTAAATTTTGCCGATCCATCATTCATCATTCTTTGGAGGCCTCGGCACCCGTCGGTCATCATCAGTTCGTCATTATTCCAAGCCGAACCAAACTGTAATCGTTAGTCCTGCATCATTCTTTTAATCGTACTTCCGTCATCTGTAAATTTCCGCTCCGCATTGTGGCCAAGGCTAGAGTCCATGATCTGTCAGGCCAAACGAGTCTTCTTCTTCTTCTTCCTCTTCTTGCTCCCCCTCTTCACTTTGTTTATTGACAGACAACATCTCTTTGGTGCATACTGCCACCTACTGTACAGGATGTGCAAAGCGGTTCCATATATAGTCATTGCAGTCCACTCAAGCAACCCCACTGTATTCACGCGCACGAGCAAACACACGCGAGACAGGCGGGGGTGTTTCTGTCAGTCTTCAACCAAACGGGCGTCTGTCAGCGACGGACTGAGAGGTCCATCGGTACTTGAATCGGTTAATGACGCTTGCGCTTTTAGGTTTCTTGTCGTTTGTCAGCAAACGGGGCACACTCCGTCAGTACTGACGAAATGCCCGCCTCTTGTGAAAGAAAATAATCTGAGGTGTAGCCTACTCGAAAGTCTCTAACATCACATTCCCTCCTGCCAGATCCATTGACCAGTTGTAGTATCTTTGTCAAAGACAGAATGAACCTTGCCCATCCCTGAACTTAACACGCCTCTCTTGTCACAAGTACAGTACAAGCAACTTGTGACAACTTGCCTCATCTCAATGAATACAACATTATGCAGCCCCTTACATTTCTCCTCCTCTTTTAGATCAGAGGGCGCAATAAAAAAAAAAAAAAAGACTGTTGGGCTGCATACTTCTTGTATTCTATGCCTTTCCCTGATACTTACCTCTCATTTTTTTTGTCCATTCCATCTGTTTCTCCATGTGTTGTTTGGTTTTGTGATGGTGTGATATCCTAGATGCGTTTGCACCTTCCCCAGGAGATGGTCCTGCCACCGTGGCTGCGGGTCCGGCGACTGATGCATTTGGTGAATCTGGTGGGTGAAAAAAATAGTGCAAGTACATTACAGTGTACACAGTACTGTATTATATACATGTATATGTTTGTGCAAAAGGTTGTCCAAGTACTGTACTGTCTACTAGCAAACTATCTTGCCTCTTGTTTAATCAGGGCTCCAGATTAACTCTTTTGTACGAGCCGCACAGTGGCCCCTAACATGCAATTTTCGGGGTGCACACTGCAAATCGACTTGTGTAAATGCTAAGATTTCCTCTTATTTTTATTATCCTTCTGGTAAATGGGCTGAAGTGTGGAGCAGTAGTTTGTCAGCAACCAAAAGTATTCAAGAATAATAAAAAGAAAGAAATCGGCAAATTCAATGGTTACACATGTGTGAGTAGATGAAAAATTTACTTGCGCTGTCTCAAATATTAGAGGCAAAATTCCACCATTTAGCGGCAGTCTGGAGCCCTGAGAAGAACATTATTTAAACTGTATGACTGTACATACAAATTGTGTACGTGTGCTAGTACGAGTAGGTTATTCTTTGAATGTACCTGTACTGTAAAAACTTCCCTCTATAGAAAATGATAGAAAACCCCTTTACAGTTGGAGTAGGTCGCAAGCAAGATTTGAATGGAGCTTCACTTCACTTCACGAACTCCCTCCCCCTCCCCCCAGTCACTGACCAAAACCACACCCCTCACTAACATGTGCAAGTGCTATTTTCAAACAAGGCTATTAATTATGGCACGTGATTATGAAAGTAAGTCGTCACAGTGACCACATACGTTCATTAGCTTGGTAAGTGCTGGAGCACCCAACTATGGCGTTACCGTGGGGAAAGCTCTAAATTCCAACACTCAGTGGTAGTTGAACACACTGTCACAGGGGCCACGAGTCTCCCCATGCTGTAATGAATGATGAATGAATGATGAAACTGTTATTTGTCGATAGCTAGATAGATAGAGAGATCCATCCTTCTATGGCTTATCTGAACCACTTTATCCTCACAAGGTTCACAGGGCGTAGTGGAGCCTATCCCAGCTGTCTTCGGACAGAAGGCGGGGTGCACCATGAACTTGTTGACAGCCAACCGCAGGGTGCACATAACCATTTGCGCTCACACCCACACCAAGGGACAATTTAGAGTGTTCCATTAGCATGCCACGCGCATTTTTGGAATGTGGGTGGAAATCCGAGTACCCGGAGAAAACACATGCAGGCGCGAGGAGATCATGCAAACTCCACACAGGAATCGAACCCTGCACCTCTGCACTGTGAGGCCGACACGCTAAACAGTTGAACACTGGGCTGCGAGAGAGAGAGAGGACAAAAATATATTTATTTATTTATATGACAAATAAATATATGTATCATATAAATATATTTATTGATTGATTTGATATGATTGATTGATTTGTTGGGGGTGGCCCGGTGATCTAGTGGTTAGCGCGTCGACCTCACAGTCCAGAGGTGCCGGGTTTAATTCCAGCTCAGGCCTCCCTGTGTGGAGTTTGCATGTTCTCCCTGGGCCTGCGTGGGTTTCCTCCGGGTACTCCGGTTTCCTCCCACATTCCAAAAACATGCATGGTATGTTCATGGAGCACTCTAAATTGCACCTAGATGTGACATATATATATATATATGTCTTCCAGTTGTGTGTTTGTGTGCTTGGTTCTTTCATTGTTTCCAATTCTCATGAAGAGCACCTTGCCTCACAGATTTACTATTCATGTTCTGATCCTCCACCTCCTTCCCTTCTTCTCTCATCAAAACACGCCTAACCCTTCAACTCCACCCCCGGCTGTTTCTCCTGCTGAAGACCCTTTTGCTACGACCGAAGGGAGTGCAGACATTACACCAGGGCTGGACCTGTTCGCTATGAGACCCACCGACACGGGCACCACTGCCATCACCCCTCCCACCTCCTGTGAGGCGTCGGCCATCGCTGAGACACCACCACCACAGAGTCTGCTGCCGCTCCGACTCTAGATTTCTTTGGTGGTAATGTCCTTTTGCTCTCATTATGCTCTCCGCATCCCTCTGCTTTATGATGATGAAGATGTTTTGATCTTGTTTGGTCTTACTCTAGACGTCATAAACAGTGACATTGGTAATAATAGAACATAGTTCCTTGTATCTAAAATTTTTACACAGTGTTCCGGCGCATATTCGTGGGTCAATGTTGGTCCCCATTTTATATATTTTTTTTACAACCCTACCAATGCTTAATCGCTGAAAAATGCACATATTTTCTGTTTTTTGTGCTCAGGCCAATGCAATAAAAGCATTATTACGGCACCATTTTATGACATATTGGTGCCAATGAGAGATGTTGAAGTGAGTTGACTGAGGGACTTGATTTAGACAGAAGGAGTGTTTTGCCATCTTGGGGCAACTTGATCCCAAGGAACTATCGTATGTTGAAGTGAGATCAGGAGCTTCATTCCGATAAATGTAGTGCTTTGCTACCATCTCGTGGTATCTCTTTCGTACAGATTTTCACTATTCGCTACCCTGGATGGTGGAGAACACGGTGTTTATCTTTTCCTTCATTCTCTTTCTTTGGCCATTGAAACAAGCATCTTAACTCTCGTGCGGTTAAGCACGAGCACACCACAAATTTAAAAAATGTTGGTCATTATATCTCGTTATCTGCAGAGATGGTTCCACTTGTTATGTTTCCTAACAGAAATGACCACCATTTAGATGAGTCTTCTGCATGTCAGAACTTTCTGACAGAGACAGCAGAGAAATAATGTAAAGTTTGTACATTTTGCACTTTAGTTCGAGTGAAATATTGCGTATGTATGCACAAAAAAAGGAAAAAAGTGCTGGTTAGTATGAATTCACAAGTACAGTCATAACCTTTTCAAACAAATACAAAGCTTGCAATATTTCCCTTAGGAAAAAAGTGCTGCATTCCATGTCAATGTTGACTGTCACATGTTCGATTAAACCGGCCAATTAGTATGAATTCACAAGTACAGTCATAACGTTTTCAAACAAATACAAAGCTTGCAATATTTCCCTTGATTTATAATAAGATGTTTTTGTTTTTTTACATTGCATTTTAAAGTTCTCTGACCATTGTCTGCTTTCCCACATTTCTCTTGTTCAGTCTTCATTGTGTTTGCGCTGAACTGAAATCTGAATGTAAATGTATTGTCTGTCCTAGATATGCTTGAATCCATGCCTGAGCAAAGTCCCACCACAGAATCCAAAGCTGCCACCACTCCTAGCGTAGACCTTTTTGGTGCAGGTACAGGATGTGATACATATGTGTCTGTGTGTGAAACTTTTTCCATCTCTTCATATCCCATTCCTCCACGCCTGTCAAATACGTAGTCCTTTCCTACTACACATCTTGTTTTTCCCCCATAGTGATTTGAGAGCTCTGCATGAAACTCACGAGCATGGTGTTCTCCCTAAGGCTGCTTTTTTAACCTGAGCTGATTCTACCTGCTATGCTAATACTTTTCTTTGCTCCACAACCTCCACCATTTTCTTCTTTCTCGCACTCTGCCTCTTGCTTGCGTTGGTCACTTAGACCTCCCTGCTGTCTCACGCGGGCCTTCCCCTCTACCTGAGCCGGCTCCGTCTGGAGACATTGTCACTGGTGAGTTCAGGTGCATTACTTTAATGGCATCCCTTCTGTTTTCCTTCTGTTCATGAAGGGTGCAGCAAGCCTCCACTCGTCATGACCAGCCCTGTATGAAAGAGGTGGTAGAGATGCATGAAGGCCTGCTTTCTTGCTTCGCTTCCTTTGCGATCGAATTTTAGGCCTGTCGTGATAATAATGTTGCAGGCACAGAAAAATATACGATGAATATTAATGGGCCTTATTTTGCCTGTCTGTCTGTTTTACTGTTTCAACTCATCTTCAGACCCTGCTCCTGAACCTGCCCCTGCACATGCTCCTGGCCTTGCGCCTGCGCCTGCTTCAGCTCAAGCTACAGCTCCTGTTGTTGTGGCTTCGACAGCAGCTCCTGTTGCTGCTCCTGCCACTGAGGCCTCCTCTCCACCCAAAGCAGAGCCGACCCCAGTTATTGACCTGCTTGGTATGTCACACACTGCTCTCATACACTCTTCCTAATAATAATTTAGCATGGTGTACTTTGTCCATTGTTCATCCAGTATATGGTCCATTATTGGCAAGTCGGAACTTTTTAGTGCGATAAATTTTGGAAATGTGTTCATAACTTTGTGATGTTTTAACACCATATGAGATGGATGTTTAACCTTAAAGATGGTGTAAAGCTCAAGCGCCCAAAACCTTTTCGGGACATGGACAGATATATTGCCAAGTGTCAATATTGTATATATTCAACAGCATTAGCTTGCCTTACACTGCATGTGTTTTTCGTGGGGGTTTTTTGCCCTTCAGTAAAATGAGGGAAGCGGAGTCAGAGTAAACAAGAGCACAAGTGTCCTCTATTGTGAATTACCATGTTTGCACCGAATTACACCAAATCATAGAAAACATTAGCACAAAAAAACATGTATCCTTGTGTTAATTTCCAATTCTTCAAGTTAATGTAAAACCATGGAAGAGTTTTGATGTATGTTGTTTTAAAAAATTAATTACTATGACGAATACGGTGGAAAGGACTCTAGCAGGGTGGAATTCTCAACATCGGATTGGTAAATTTCAACAGTAACGTGACTAAGAACCAGAGGTAGGCAATTTACAAAATGTTGCCAAGTCCATCATTCGTCATATACCGTATATGTGTGTGTTGTTCTCTCCCGTATATGTGTGTGTTCTCTCTCTCTCTCTCTCTCTCTCT